TAGGAAAAATTGGAAAAATACGACTTTAAATGAATCCTTAAATCTAAAGTTTCTAACAGACGGCTGTCATTTCTAAAAGGATAAAACCAACTATATTCAACCTTCATGTCAAACTCTCACTTCTTTGCATTCTAAATGAGCAGCAGACATTTCACATGTTAGAGAAAATGCAGTTTTCTTTTATAAAGCTTGTTCTAATTTCTGGTGTTAACTCTATTTAATAAACCTCAGCGATTCTATAAATGTATGACTCTTCTTAACTGAGTATGTCCACAGCGGCCTGATGGGGCTTTCACTGTGCAGACTTTTAAATCTATGCCCAGAAGATCCTTTTGGGTCATTCTAGTTCAAAATTGTAGGATTCCAGTCACCTGCTCTTTTCTTAGCATTTAGCTAACAATTTTAGATAGTTATTATTCGTTAAATAATTTATTATATGTGAATTTTATATTTTTATATAAATAAAATTCATAGTTTGTGTGCATAAATTATAGAAGAAAGCCTCTAGCTGTGTTTGAAACACAAATGCCTGTTCTTGTGACCTTCCCTGTGATATTACCTTTTGTTGCTGGCTCTCAGACTAAGTGACCTTTTCTGACCAAATCTTTTCTTTATTCTGATTGAAGGAAACAAGATGGGGCTGACCCCCGACTTGCAGCACCACTAGAACCCCAGCTGTTACAGCCTGAATTGAGACACAGCACCTCACCTCTCCACAAGGTAAGGAGTGGGGCATTAAGTTGCACTTTGACCTGCTAACCTTATCTAATTCCCATTTATGTGACCCTGTGTTTCTGTGATATTTGGTCAGCAGTCTATTGATGTCCTATCTCATGTTCTCTTTGCTCAGGTTTTTAAGGTTATTGAAACTGAGCCATTTAAGCTGCATTTTATTGATCTGCTTTTTATCCTTGCATCTTTTCTATAACTTGTGTAACTAAAGCACACACACTTTAGTGGGAGCAATTATTATGTTTGACTGGCTAAATTAATTAAGGTCTATTTTTAGAGGGAAAAAGTCGGCCTCACTCTGATAAATTTTTACTCCAAGCATGATTTCATCAAAGCCCACAAATCACAGCTTATAAGAGTAATTGTGGTTTTATTTTCCTAAGAACAACTTCTTTCACCCATAACATCATCAGTCATGTGGAACTTAAATAGATTCATGCTGAGACAGATTGAGTTCAGAGTTCAACTGATTGTCAATTCCAAAAATATGTTACAAAAGGATGTGTGATGGTTTAAAATTAAATTGGCTCATAGCAGATTAACAATCTAAGAAAATCCTATCTTTAATTCAGGCAAAAAAAAATTTAGGGGAAAAAAATACATAAAGTAGAAGAAGTGATGCAATCCCTTTGGTCTTAGTTTGAATGTCAGAAAACAAACACTAAAAACTGCGATTGTAAATAAAAGAAAACTGAAATTTGTTAAACATTAGTTTAAACACTGATGTGTAGGTGGTAGAGTATAAACACCTTGGTATTCCCCTAGACTAGAATACCCTTAGTGCTCCTCAGGGACCCCATTCCTGCATGCTTTAGGTCTCTCCCAGCCACACACCTGACTTAAATAAATGGGTGATTAACAGGTTTCTGGCACACAGAGGAGGAGCAGTTATTTGAATCAGATATAGTGCAACAGATACGCATCTAAAACATGCAGGGAAGGGGTCCCTGAGGAGCAGTGTTGGAACCCACTGCCAGGACTACAGATCAGGCTTCAGAGGTTCCAGTTAAATTATCCACATAAAATAACGAAGCAGACTTGAGTCCTTTAATAAACTCAGGTCCTCTAGTATTTGCTTCAAGATAATGCAGATCCATTAAAAATATTTAATTAATAGTTATAATAGTTATGATACGTTAATAGTATGTTCTGCAGTAAGCAGCATCAGAGCCCATTAAAAAAAAACAGAATCAGATCATAAAAATGCTGACTTTGTTCTTTGGATTGCTCTGGGACCTCTTGTAATTATTAATAAAATGAAGTACATTAGAGGAAAAAGATGAGCATTATGTTCCTGAGATGGTTATACAACAGCAAAGTGTCTCCAGTCAAAATCCTTTTTATATCTATTGTAACACAGAGTACTTCTGCAGATATTTTATGCCCACAGCCATTACCATCTGTAAAAGTTCAAAATGACTAAGATACTCTCACACACTAAAAAATAGATTTTTCTTTTGGGAGCAAAGGTATTTTAATTTGAACTCATCTTTTGGCACGTGTAATCGGCTATGGGGAGAAAATGCATTAATCCAGAGCAGCAATCCAAAAATAACTTCTATTGCTGTTATGCAGGTTTAGTCAATAGCAACCAGGGCTTTGGTAGAAATATTTAAAGACTCATAATGCATATACCAACTAGACATATGGTTAATCATAGGTTAACAAAACAAACAATCACCTTATTCCATGGCCATATCACCCAACATACTGAATCCTGCAAACTCTGTATAATGAGCTGAAGATAAGTGAGGACCTGGACTGGGATTCTACAAATCATTGAGGGATATGAATCATTAAAACACTGATTCATTTGTTTAGAAAAAGTATTCCTTAAACTAGCATTTGTTTTTTTAAATCATTATATAAAATTACTCAAATTCACTAAAAAAAAAAACAAATAAATAAAAAAAACATACAGAAAAACAAAAACATGATGAGCTTCTGCAGCTGCAAACCTCAGGGAACAAAAATATTGAAATAAAGATTTTTAAAAATTGTTCTTGAGCTGAGTAGATATATAGTGATATGCTGTAACTCTCGTAAATTAGCAAAGCCAGACTGCTCATTTTTATTATCAAACCAAACACAAAAGGAACTTCTAAGCATCTTTGACAGCAGAGGAATAACATGTCTTTGTGAGAGTAAACATTAATGTGGAACAAATATGTATGGAGATGTCATTTTTCAGTTTTACAGCTCCACGTAAATCCATCAAAACCGCTGATATGTCTAAGCTTATCTTTTGCACACTGAATAAATGATATGTGGAAAATAAAACCTGCCAGGGGTATATTGGGGAAATAAATAAATAAATTGATCCACACTGTGCCTGGATCATAAGCGGATAACATCTCAGTTATGTCGGATTGGTTTTTCTAAAGGATTCTCACACTATCCTACATTCCTAAAAAAAAGAAAAAAAAAGAAAAGGGATTATGATTGGTAGACATTTGAAACTGTTTTTTTTAACAGTCACTCTTGATCCATGCAGCACTTTGAAGGTAGTTCACACCTACTAGTCTGTTAGGTAAAGGGCAAATATGTGAAGGCTCTTCCTTATGCAGACTGATAGCAGTTATTTTTTTTCCTGTGCAGTTAAGAAAAAGGAACAACTGTAGAAGATAGTATTGTTCAAATTATATAACACGGCCTAAATAGCTGCTTGATTGAACGTGAGTAAAATGAAAAGACGTCATTGATATACAGTGTAGTGTACAAAATCTGCACAGAGGATGGTATCAGTTTGACTACAGCCCTGTGAAAACCAGGTCAATCTGCAATTAACCCAACCAGGTTGTACAGTCTCCGCCTAGTTGAACTACACTGCCAAACTGTCATGTTCACAAACTTGGACATTTGCAAGGAGACAAACACACCATCTGGTGTTTTCTTTAAGAGATGACATGTCAAAATCTTTGAATACATTTTCTTTTGCAAAGTTGAGGCATACATACGCCTTGGATGTTAACCTCTGCAGTTGTAAATCAGGCTTTTCCAACCATTGTGGGGAAGTCCCTATAAAAACATGACTCATCTCTCTTTTATAGACTGATTGCACCTGATTAGTTTTTACAATCTATATCAGATATTAGATAAACAAATTGCGGAAGCAACTAAATATCTTTCCCATCAAAGAATAATATTCAGAATCAGAATCAGAAATACTTTAATAATATTATAATATAATTATATTATTATTATAAAAATTATATTAGAATATATTATAATATAAATTAATCATATAATATTCAACTGGATCCACTTCGGGAAGCAGCTCAGAGCCCTAATGAGCTATGTTAGGACATAGCGAGTCGCAGCTGAGATGTCTGAAAGGGAAGAGGAGGTGTTCTGCATTTGATTTGTGCGTTGTCATAATGACAATCCTATTAACTCTCATAATGAGAGGTCTCAGCTCTCACACCTGCTCTCTATGTCAGCCCTTACTCCCCAGGGACCCTCCCCCACTTCCTCCACCTTGTCCACTGCTGCAAATTGATGCTGCAGTACACTGTCTCCTAACTACTCATGAGTTTTATACGTACAGTGCCTTGCAAAAGTATTCACACCCCTTGATTCCTTCTTCATTTCATTATGTTAACATAGTAAAAAGCAATGTATCTAATCAGGATTTTCTTGTCAACATGAAGTAGAACCCAGTGTGAAAATTGTCTTAAAAATGGTTTTGCATAAAAATGTATACAGCCACTTTTACACTAAAAACCCTGAAATTAAATCCATTGTAACCATCTGCCTGCTGAAGTCACTAAGTATATAGAGTTCCTGTGTGTTGGACCTAATCTTGGTATACAGTACTGTTAATCCAACGGCGAAGGCTTTGGGGATTGGTTAAGGATCATTAATCCTTCAGCATCACGAATCCCAAGAAAAACACCAGACAGGTCAGAGATAAAACTGTTTAAAGTTTGTAAAGTATATTAGTATATAAATGAAAAATCCAAAACGAGTATATCCCACATGCATTCAAAAGTAGTTGTAGTAACTCTGGAGGAGCTGCAGAAATCCATTGCCCAAGTGAGAGAATTTCTTAATAGGATAACCAAATATCATTTAACCAACCAGCTTCCAATTTGTAGATCTCCTCAAGTAATACAGGATTAAAAATTGTAAGACGATAAAAATAAACCTTTTTTTTTTGGTTATTTACAAAATGTTATCTAAAATGACACATCAACCCAAACGCAAGATCTACTGTAAATAATGATGGTAGCACTATCATGCTGTCGGGATAGTCTTCTAATCACAGATCAACCTTAAAAAAAATTATAATAATAAAAACAGGGATTCTGGGGAGAAAACCTGTTATAATCTTTACTGGGTTAAAGGTTTGCCACCCAGCAGGATGAACCTTAACAAGCAGAGCGACAATGGATTATGGAGAATATTTTGAAAGCCATCAATCATTTTCCTTCCATGTGTCACTTTTTATTTACCTATCACGTGGATGTCTATATTTTTTTTGCAAGACAGTTTAGAATCTCAAAATTTCCAGTATCTGTTAAATTTCTTCCTTCTTTTCTTGGTGGTAGAATATCTCTGTGCTTTTGTAGGAAGCAAACAGTGTGATTTTACAGCAGTTTATGATAGTAGAGAAATTGGACTCCACCTCCAGCTGACAGTCAGGATGCACATAGTGTTTAAAGAGAGGTAGATGGCATGTGATCCTGATTTCATCCTGTAATGTTCCAAAGAGTAAAAGACTAGACGAGACACCTTTCACTTCAGGAAGAGGATTGCTTATCTAGATTTTTGCCAAGAATAATTGACTTTCCTCTGCAACCTGGCGGATAACACAGCGTGAATTTGCCTGAGGATCTCAAGTCTTTGTGCAGCCATCAGAGGATGAAGCTTTAGTTCAAGATGCAGTTTCTTGTTTGAGTTTTCAGAGAAGCTGAGCAGTCAAGTAAAATTTATTGTTTTAAAGTCAGTTACACTGATGTGTTTGAAGCTGCAGGATTTTAATTTACAGTGAGGCAAAGAGAAAATTATGGCTAAAAATCTTGACAAACAAAATCATCATTCAATGGTGACGAAGAAGCACTGGAAGAAACCCAGCAGTGTAAGTAACTTTATTTTGAGAACATTGAGAACAACAGAAATGAAAAGTAATTCCATGGATTGCAAGTACAGCATGCCTCCCCACATACTGAGTATATAAACATAAATAAGTGCATTTATTCTCTGTGAAAGATAATGTCTTCAAACTAGAAGAAATTCTGAAGTTTTAAGACTTGTAACGCTTTTATTTAAGACCAGCGAACAGGCAAAAGCTCTGAGCCACAGCTTTTCTACCCCCAATCTCTGGTTACAGCCAGAATTGTTTACTTTCAGGGTTTGTGGCAGACTATTGTTTGCTCATGGTGGAGGACTTTACTCAAACTCACACAAAGCTTAAACACGATTGCTCTGTACACAGAGTATTTGTGTCAGGTTTTAAGAGTTGAATCTTTCAGCTGTCTCTTAACTACACCCGGCTGATGCGTCCATGGATTGTGCTGCTCTGTCTCAGCTGTCTCAGGAAAGTTTTGCATGTGTTCATTTAAAGCATGATAATGCAAGGTGTTGCAAGTGAAAGTTCCTCAGCTGCTTTGCATGAAGCATGTACAGGGTAAGGCAGCGCAGAGGAGATAGGACATTTCACTTTTGTTTCTAAAAGGTGAAATGTCGGCACAGATATTAAAAAAGGTTTTAGCAGTGTGAAAAACCATCTCTTTTTGATAAGGCACCTTTCATTAAATGTACTTTTTTCTTTCTTTTATGCTTTCCTAAGTATTGCTACTGCTAACTTTTTTTACATTGCAAAAACAAAACTCATTGTATGTTAGTTAGATATAATGCAATAGACTAACACACAGTATTGCATAACTGCTAAAGTGGAAAAGAAATTATTCAAATTCTTTACATTCCTTCACAAATACAAAATCTGCATCGTGTGCATTTGTCTTCAGCTCACCTGAATCAATCCATTGGAGAGTCATCTTTGACTGTAATTACAGCTTTGTGTTATTTGAGTTTTGTCTCTCTGAGCTTTGCACATGCAGAGACTGAGATGTTTGCCCATCCCTTGTTCGAAACACTGTAAAAGGAGAGCATCTGGGAATGGTATTTTACTTTGACTAGAACATTGTAACACATGAATATGTTTTAATATGGTCCACGCTGCTATATTTTTAGGGTTATTGTGCTGCTGGAAGGCAAACCTCAGGCGTTGCCTCAGGTCTTTCAAAGCCTTTGATAGTTTTTTTTTTTTTTTCCCATCAACTCTAACTGCCTTTCCTTTACTAGGTGTAGAAAAGGGTCCCCACGGAATCACGCACACAACATTCAGACGGATGATGCATTCAGACTGCTAGTGCTGCCTTTCATGTTATCTACCTGGTTTTTGGCAAACAACATTTTTTCCATACAGTAATGTAGATTATTGAGGTACATGAATTGAAGCCCTTGCTAACCGCTTCTCCCACCGAGGTAGTGTATCACTGTTCATTCCTGTCCTTGACCCTCCAGCTGTCCTTTTAGTTCTACTTCCAGATTGATGGGAATTGATTCAGATAATAGTTGGAAAGATGCACTCCACAACTCAACTTCCTTAACCTGTCTGTGTGTGTTTTTGGATCTTTATGATGCTGTTTGTTCACTAGATGTATTCAAACTGAGTAGAAATTATACACAGGTTGACTCCATATAACTTTTATCTACTTTTTAATTAGCCTGCCACAAGCAATCCTGCAAAAGAAAAAAACCCAAACACAACTTTTTATGTGATTTCTGCTGGCAGTTGACCAGACTGTATAAATTCTGAAGTATTAGGGTAAAGGAGGGAGAATACCTATGCAGAATACATTTCAGATGTTTATTTTTCTGAAAACTATTTTTTTTTCATTTATTTGTTGTTTTTAGTTGATTCTGCCTCATAAAATCCCAGAGTCAATTTTGCTATGCTTTTTTTTCAGTAGTATTAATATCAAAAGTTAAGGCACATATTAAAGTCACATGTGGATGTGACTGTTTCAATGTTTCAACTGTAAAGTAATTTGCAACAGAATATATAAAATCTTCACAATGCAATAACTTGGACTTAGACCACTTTACCAATCCCATCAGGGGCAATTCCTTTGAGCAGTAAGAGCCAATCATGCAACATTTTCTAAAAAGGATTAGTAGCATTAATTTGCAAACATAAAGCAGAAATAATGTTCATAACTCATGATTAGCAAGTAAAGGCAGAGCTTTTAAGATTAGATAAATTTCAAATCACTGAATCTTACATAATTCTGATCCACAATGGTACCATGACTCCTGTTAAACTCAAATTTCAAATCTATCAAATGAACTCAGACATTTCATCTCCTCTCCCCAGACCACAGATTTATTTGAAATGATTGAAAAGATGCAGGTAAGATGATGCACATATGTCTGTATTTTTTCCCCGCCTCACTAAGCTGAAAAGACTAACAAATCAGTCTGTCTCTTTCTAATTCTGCTGCGTCTGTTGCTGGCAATGACACTCCTAATCTTTTCTTTTTTTGTAACTGAAAAGGAAATTGAGTCTTGGTGGTTTCAGGGAAACTGTATGTTTTTTCCTCAGCATCTCTATAAACGTTCTGGTTGTTGAGACATGGCTGACAGCAGTGTAAGCTTATCATCTCACTTCAAACACTATCTCCTGGTTTTCTGTAGGCTTTGGAAGGATGTTTTATGAAGTCATGAAATCCCACGCATAAGAGGCTAACAATTTTATGATGGAGCTTATCAAAAGACAAGGCAGTTCTGTGTGTTTGCTGTCTTTGCCCTAGTGATGGAGTACACACATAAGTCATCTTTTTTTGTATTAAAAATTACTGCAAAGCAAAGTTTCACATTTTTTAATTTTACTGTAATTTTTGTGCAAATCAATTTTGTAGTTTGTTTAGAAGATGGTAACAGAGCTGGATAAGATGCATTTTCCTCATTAAAATTTAGTCTTGATATGAACGCAGTTTCTTCTCTGCATCAAACTTCCCCATCTTATCTCTCTCTCTCTCTCTGTCTCTCTCTTACACACCCCTACGATTCACCCCCACAGAAACACACCCACACCTGAGAGGGAATAGTTGGGAAGTATTTCCACCTAACACTGCATTTTTTTAACCCTCCACAGCTTATTTCCCACACTCCTGCAGTCTGTTTACAACACTTTATATCCACTCCCCACCCTCCACTGTCTTCCAGTCTTTCACTATCCCTTCTCTGTCTGTTGAGCGTATCTGTTTCAGTTTTTTTCCATCTGTCCCTCTTTGATGCTGCTTTGCTGCCTGCTCCTCCTGGGAGAACTCTGCTGTTATATAACGAATTTGATCCTTTTTTCCCAGTTTGTTGTGCTCTATATTTAGACTATGATTATAACACTGCTCTTCGAACATTGTTTTTGGACATTTCCTTTTTTGTGATTTTTCTCCCTTGTCCTCTTATGAACCTTCTTACCTGTGACAGGGCAGTAGGATGGATGAGCAAAGGTGCACCTTTCCTCCTACTCTGAAGGTAAATTTCCTACTATTACTATTTTATTTTGTTAGAATCTATATTAAAGTATATTTCAGTTAAATGCTTTAGAATAAGGCTGCTCAGTGGCGCAGTGGGTAGCTCTGCTGCTCGGCCCGGGATCTTTCTGCATGGAGTTTTCATGTTCTCCCTGAGCATGTGTGGGTTCTCTCCGGGTACTCTGGCTTCCTCCCAGAGTCTAAAAACGTAACTGTTAGGTTAATTGGCTTCTCTAAATTTTCCATAGGTATGAATGGTTGTTTGTCTTGTCTGTCTCTGTGTTACCCTGCGATGGACTCTTAAATATACTATAAATAACAACAGCTATGTGGTTACTGTGTATTTGCATATTTTGAGATTTTTAATGAGTTCTTGTTTACAACTTTATTGTTTATTGTTTTTTTTACAGACTGAGGAGGATTACATTCCATACCCAAGTGTCCATGAGGTAAGAAAAAAAAATCCTCCTATTAACATTTGGAAAAAAGACTTCCTGCTGATTTTCAATGTTTTTTTCTCTTTCATTGAACTTAAGTTTCTAATTTTCACTCTGATGTTTTTTATTGAAGAGAGCCATATCCGCCACCCACATAGTAGTGTATGTAAATGCAGTAACAACATCCACCCTTAGAGCTTCTGGCCAAGCATTTAATATTTGCTCGGGTTATCTTTTAAACACAATATAAAAGATATCTGAAAGAGCCTGGGCACCAGAAAAATATTGGTGTCCCTTTGTTTTTGCAAAAACTTTCTTCATCTCACCTGACCAAACTTCTGATGCATCAAAGAGTGAGAATAATTATGAGAAAGGGACAGGCGTCAGCCAACACATTTCACATGATCGTCTTCACCTCACAAGGCTCAAGTTCATGTTTTAAATTCTAGACACAGCGAAATGATTATTTTTAATTAATGTATTTTATTTTATTTTTTATATTTTCACAAAGCTAATTGCTGATGATCTTGTTGCCTCTGTCATCTTGATGAAGTTCTGCTCCCTGATGCCTGACTTTCTTTAAAAGCCCATTTTTTTGTCATAGTGATCAACAGGCTTAAAAGAAAGAAAGAGATTTTTTTAGCCTGCCGTGCTTTATATCATAACAAGTAGTGATCTTGTTAAACAAGTAGTGATCTTGTTAGATGGGAGCAACAAGTTTAAAGATTCCAGAATTATGGCTTTGTTTTACAGGACAAAACACTTTTTTCACACAATAATATCTAAGACATGTTCAACCTTTCTTCTATTGTTTTTATATTCTCTTTTAAAGCTTTGAAAAAGCTAATATTAATGATAATGTCTCAAGAGACGTGTACTTCTGTTTAAGTGAAAACAGTAGCAAAATCGGCAGGAAAAGAAGTTATTATTTCCTCCTCAGTAAGGTGCACATCCATGTTTTTTCAGTTTTAACATTTGGAATAGAATAGAATTCAACTTTATTGTCATTACACTGTCACAACTACAAAGAAGCTAAATGTCTGAAATTTACCTCTCTTTAAATCAGGTTTTGGGGAGAAAAAGCCCCTTTCCTCTCATCCTGCTTCCACAGTTTGGGGGTTACTGGATTGAGGGCATGAACCATGAGTTGAGTGAAGCTGGAGACCCGGAGCACCACCGGCCTCCGTCACCCAACAGCCGCACTAAGCTGGAGTGTAACACAATGGCTACACACTACAGGAAACACTTCCTGGGCAAGGTCAGCTTAATAACATACCAATTGCTTTTGTCCAATGTGGTGTTGGTATAACAAGGATTTTAAAAAGTCATTTTCTATTCAGAATTACATAAATGAAATCTCATAAAAAAGATTAAAAGTGTTATAAATGCAAATGAAGTTAAAACATAAAAAGATAAGACAAACTACTAGAGTTGTCCTGATCTGGATATTTTGTCTATGGGTCTGTTACAGATGCAAATCATTTGACAAAAATAAATCTCTTAATACTAAGCCTGAATCCAACATTTAATTACAATCAATGCAATGTGAATGCTGAGAGAACCAGAGCTAAAAAAACTAAACAAAAAACAGTATGACATTAGGTCTACCTCAATAACTTGACTGGGTAGCATTTAATCTAGACTCTAATTATATGCCTGGAGCTGTAGCCTTCAACAGGCTGACATCTTGTTCCAACCCCGTTTCTACTGGTCCACCTCACCATGCTGATTCAGCATCGGGTCATTCAAGTCAAGGAAGTGCTTTAATTGTGTAGGCTTACTTGAAATGTGTTAATAAACATGTGTTGGAAGTGTTGGCCTAGTGGTCAAAGCAGTGCCCTTGTGCTCTGAGAAGGTTGTAAGTACCTGATTCGATCCCCACAGCATCCACTCTGGGTTCCTGAGCAAGACCCTTAACCCCATACTGCTCCGCGGGCGCCACACAATGGCAGTCCACTGCTCCCTAAGGGGATGGGTTAAGTGCAGAGAGTGAATTTCCCCATTGTGGAAAAATTAAGTGACTGACAGATTTTTACAGTTCTCCAGACTAACTAACTAACTAAAGTCAGCAGGAGACAAACATGAGTTTACCTTCAGTAAACTCATGTTTGGCTCCTGCTGACTTTGGTCTGATCCAGAGCAGTTAGGGTAACGTTAGCATGAAACTTGTTGGAACTCTATATTACAGTTTACTCAGTCAATAGCATGAGTAAACATTTGACATTTGTCTCTGCACTAGTTGATTTTGTTTGACACCTTGCTGATTGGAAATTGGATTGAGTGAAAGTGCGAGTAGAAAGGAACAGCTTTTTCCCTATTTCCTAAGCTCTATTTAGACCTATCTAGATGTTTTCTATCAAATACAGTATTGCTGACAATATTAATGTTACAGCAAAATAATTTTCTCATAGATGTGAAAAATCGCCCCAAAATTATAGTTCATTCTAGCATAATCCAAAAACAATGGAAACAAATTAAACTAAAGTGTTGGTATCCTTAACAATCCCAAGCAGGATAAATTAAACATTTTTAGCTTGTGATTTTTTTTCAGGTCAGATTATGATGAATACCTACAATGTTCTGCTAACTCTGTATCCTCAGGAGCACTTTAATTACTATTCACTGGACAGTTCCCTTGGACATCTGGTGTTCTCCATAAAATATGATGAGATCGGTGACCAGGAACATCTACGCCTTATGCTCAGGTAACACTCACTATGCATACGTGACGCCTAAAGTTATAGTCAATAGCTGGAAGAGCTGCAGCAAATGCAGGGCAATAACTTTATCCTCTGAAATGCCCAGTACAGTGACAATGTGTGACTGGATGCACACATCCTCCCCAGGTGTTATTGCAGCAGTCATAAAGCTAAAGAGAGTGTCAACAGAAGTGTAATTTCCATGGCAGAGTAACAGATGGACTATTTAGGCCAGCGAGGGTGTGATAGAAAGGGAGACTAAAGGCAAACACATGGATGGGCGGGAAGTTTGATAATATCTATTGTTTTATCATACCTAATAGATTAATTATTGTTTAATGACCCCAACAGAACCAAGCTGAAAACCTATTATGATGTGATCCCCATATCCTGTTTAACAGAGTTTCCTAATGTGGTCCAAATGGCCAAGGTAGGATGAGATGCTCTTCTTTGAACAATAACTGATCAGCCTCAACGGTCGTGTTTTGACATTTTCTTTAATTTCTCATCTTTACCAAAGCTTGTCTGTGAGGAAGTCAACGTGGACCGCTTTTATCCTGTGCTCTATCCAAAAGTAAGCTGGTAACCCTCGTCTTTTATTCCTGTATCTGTAACAGTTTAAAATCAGAATAGTTAAGGAACATATTTGATGTTTGTTTGAGAAGTGAAATTGGTAGGCAAACTGTTTATACCCAATGGACTTTTCCAAAAATCTGTCATGTTACATCCCCAAACTTTGTCGTATTTCACAAAATGTTCTTCAATAGAAGAATCTCATGTTGAAACAAATTCATAAGAAGCCCCATTAGTTTTTTTCTCTGGTCAGACAAGACCAAGTTTGAACATTCTGGTCTAAATGCAAAGTTCTATCCATGGCAGAAAAACTAAAAACAAATAATAATAAAAAAAACACTGCAAACTTTCTATTAACATTATTAACACTTTCTATTAACACTTTCTTTTCTGAAACACAATAGTAGAGGCATCATGCTGGGGAGTCTACTTTCCAGCTTGGGCAGGGATGCTGATGGTTTTGGGTTTACCCCAGCATTTTAAATTCGAATTATAGAGACCCTCTGTAAACTACCTGCTAAAAATTTCATAAAGTAGCAAAATTCTTATGTCATTGGAGGTAAATAAGCCCAAATTAACATTAAATAAAATGTGGGAAACCGTCTATGAATGTTATCCGTAAAAAATAACTAAAAAAAACATTACAGCTAATTAAGCCTGGTTAGCTTGTATTACACAGCCAAATAAAGCTCAGAAAGAAAATGATTCTTGAAAATATCCTTCTGCATGTGTTTCTGCAGGCTTCAAGACTTATTGTCACATTTGATGAACATGTGATCAGCAACAATTTCAAATTTGGAGTCATCTACCAAAAGTTTGGACAGGTGAGTTAGAGCGTTTTTATGCTGGTGGTCCTTTGCTACAGAAATGCTTAGAATTTCAGCTGTTGGACATGTTCATCGTATGAACAATGAATGTTCACATTTAATAACATTTTTCATTTCCTCTAGGAAGCTGATATCGTCCAGCTTTTATTGTAATAAATTTGTGTTTCTATAAAAGTAATTATCTTGCCTTTAGCTCATCCTCTTATTTTTTTTTCAGCCAATCGGTGCCTTTGTGTACTCTTGTCAGGTAGCAGAGCTGCAAGGAGATTAGCGGAGCAAATCTATATGTTCCAATAGCTCTGTTTATAAATGCTTAAATGCATGCCCCTATAAAATACTATGAGAAAAACCAAAAAGGAGTCGTTTTTATTTTGAGAAAAATTTGCAGGTTAAGTAGACATCCAGGGACATAGAAGAAGATTATATAATATTTCATCGACTTCTCAGGTATTTTTCTATCCTGCCTGTTTTAAGGCTGATATTTTTTAATAACATAACCATAATCTCTCACTAACTTTCTCACTAACAACTTATAATCATCTTTTTTAGCAAGGGTGATTGTAGCCACAAGCCTCCTGATCTTTGATTCCTCTAAGTAGTCTGCAATATTAAAGGTCTCTGGGTTATCTGATAGACTATTACAAAGCAGCACATTATTAAAAATAAAGAGAGAAAATGATGTATAGCTTCTATTTATTCCCAAATGGAAACCAATGAACTGTCATTAGCTGTAATGTTCATCCATATTTAATCAATTTCCCTTAAATAAACTCTAGTGTAACCTGTTGCCTTAGGACGGTATGAGATTCTTAAATGCCTCAGAGGTTTTGTCAGAGATTAGTGAATATGGGAAATAAATCACAACACTAACTTTATAATTAGGCAGGTTAGTGAGAAAGTTCTGGAGAAGTTAAAGGCATAGTATTTGTTAATCTCCTAAAAAGGGAAGGCATGGTAAACTGAAAACCTTGAAAACATGGTCACTATTACTATTATTATTATTATTATTATTATTATAAGGGGACTATTACTCAGAGGAACATCCAAGAAGCCTGTGATAACTTTGGAAGAGCTGCAGAGATCGATTGTTCATTATGGAGAACCTGCTGACAATTAATAGTCTCAAATCTTGCCTCATTGTTAGATTGGAAAGAAGAAACATGTCTTTTAAGTTTATCAAATCTTCATTAATGCAGGTAGTCCAACTTAACCATTTGCTTTTACTTAAAACATCTGTTTGATACATTTTGTACAGAAGAAATATTCAAGACTTTTGACAAAACAGCATCAAAGTGTTAAAAAAAGACAAAATTAAGAAAAAAATTTAAATTTTGGAACAATAGCTAAAAATTTCTAACAATATTCCAAGATTTTTAAAGGAGAAAATAAATAACCCAGAGATTATACCCAGCTGAAGGTGCAGAGAAAGAGAAATGTGCTTGGCTTAACTATGTCCTGCAAGATAAATTTAGAACTGAGGTGCACCTTTGATTTCCACCAAGGCAAACCAGAGCTACAGTGAAATGATTCAGTCTAGAGCAGATTTACATGTTAGAATGGCCCAGTCAAAGCCCAGTGCTAAAAAAACTGCAATATTTGCTGCTATGTCACTTAAAGGCTGATCCACACATATTCAAGGCTAAAGATTTTCATTGAACTTAATATCCAGAACAATTTTAGTTTGCCACATGCAACTGGTCAAGTTTATAGATATGTGTGATGGTGATGTCACAGCCTGTTAAAATGTTTAACCCTTTAAAGCCCGATCCAAGAATAAAACAAAACAGAAAATTACTTTTTTTTGGTTTGAAGTCCTTATTTGTCCTTTTAACAAAATATGTAAAGAGAAAAAACAGAAATAAATTTTTGATATTAATAATTTATTATTATGTGATAAGTCAAGATTATTTTTTGTGTAGTCTTCTGCCCTCTGTTATCATGTATATCTGATTCTGTACAATAGGATTTGGAGCAAAGTTTTTACCATTAAATTATCCAAAAGGTGTCAAACGCAAAACATTTCATAAACCGTATGTATCAAATATGATACATTTGGGATTACAGGGTTAATGGTCTCAATGTATGTTATTTCTTTGATTGATTTTTTTTGTGGCTTCAGACATCAGAAGAGGAGCTGTTTGGCAACAGTGAAGAAAGTCCTGCCTTCGTAGAGTTCCTGGAGTTTCTTGGAGAAAAGATTGAACTACACCATTTTAAAGGGTAAGAGTCAAACAAAGCTGTTAAAGCACTAAACTCTACCATCATCACAAAGACAAAACGCCATCTCTTATTTACATCCAGTCAAGCACACTATAGGCATAATGATCATGCTTCTGCAGTGACGGTGGAATATCCTGTTTGACATGCTTCTGTTTGCTTGCAGTTTCCGTGGAGGGTTAGATGTGACTCATGGGCAAACTGGCACAGAATCTGTCTACTGCAACTACCGCAACAAAGAGGTCATGTTCCACGTGTCTACGAAGCTGCCTTACACAGAGGGGGACACCCAACAGGTAATTCAACACCACAGAACAATGGCACAGCTTTCATAATTCACAGCAAGCAGTCAGACAGGTTCCATCTGAGCCTAACAGTACTACAGCTTACTTGTTTATCCATGCTGGGCTAGAGAACAGCAGTGCTTAAAAAGACTACATTGGTTGTAAACATGAACTGTTAATGTGTGCTTAAGTGAACTCATTGTTCTTTTTGGTTTAATGCATCCTTCTGTTTCCTTAAACAGTGATTAATGAGTGCTACGTCTAAACAGTCCATAATATCAAGCTTTTACAGACACAGATGGGAACGTCTGTCTTTACATGCTCAGCTTCCAAGACAGGTGTAATGGGTGTTATATGGATATATGCCACGTTGACCTCAGACAGTTAACTGTTCTTTAAAACTAGCAGGGAAACAGTGCCTCTCTGTGGTGCCTTACAAATCCCCTCACTGTAAGCAGAATGCATATGATACTTATTGTCCTTAATCTACCATTTGTGCTTTTAAGTTAGGTTTTCACATAAAAAAAATAGTCATTTGTTTTCTAGTTTTACATGTATGGATATATTCAAGTTATGATAGTGCCTTGTCTCTACATCAACAGTAAAGGCATTTTTTGTCATACTTTCTTATCCATATAAATTTGACAAATACACAGCCATTGATCTTTTGCTTTTTTACAATATATTTAAGCATTGTAATACAGATCCTAGCAGAACCTTTTCTCAACCGCCTTGAACTTCTCAACAGTTTTACAACAGCAAACCTCATTGTATATCATTGGGATTTGATGCATTAAATACGTGCTAAAAAACTGAATAGCTTTCAATTTGAAGAAAAATGTTACATGTTTTCATGCTTTTCTTTTTCTTCTTATTTAGCGGAAAATGTTTAGGTGCATTTTTACCACTTACTGCTGAGTGTAACAGCTTCGTTAGGGGTTCTGGATTCAACTCATACATTTGTTTTTCTTAAAAGTAAATTAGTTATTTGTTTTTGCAAATTTGCAAAGTTTTAACTTTGCAACTTGTGTTCATAAGTTATGCATTTATTTTCTTGTAGATTAAACATCTGATGGCACATGTACATATGAACTGACAAGAGAAAAAAGTGTACAATTACAAATTCAAACACCTTTGCGCACATTTTTATTGACAGTTATCCTACTTCATACATGTCTGTCTTGCAATTATATTCTCCATCTTTAACTACATCTTTCTCTGCAACCTACTCAAAATTACTATGTGAGTGGTAGCTACTTTTCTGATCAAAGCATATTATAGAACAAACATGGTCCTATCGGAAAGGGATTTTGGTTCACATTTCATGGCATCTTTATCCCTGACCTGCCTGTGTTCCTTGGTTTTCACTCTCTGTTCTCTAACAAAACCCTGAGACCTTTACAGAATAGTTATATTTATGCTAGACACATTGAAGTCTTCATCTATAAAGTGACAAAATGAGATAGCAAAGTACTGTACTAGACTTGCATTTTCTCTTACATATTCACACAGAAATGTAACCATAAAGTTTTCCTGCTGATCTTCTGTTTTAGTTGCAGAGGAAAAGGCACATAGGGAATGACATTGTTGCCATTGTATTCCAAGAGGAAAATACTCCCTTTGTGCCAGATATGATTGCATCCAACTTTCTTCATGCTTATATTGTGGTCCAAGTGGTCAACCCCTGCTCTGACAATGTCGTCTATAAGGTAAGTCCTCCCCACCCTTCCTTTCCAAAACTTTAAAAAGGAAGTTTGAGCAACTGATTCTTCTTTGGCCTTTATGTTTGTTGCTAGGTTTCAGTGACAGCTCGGGATGATGTTCCTTTCTTTGGCCCAGCCCTCCCAAACCCTGCCATATTTAAAAAAGTAAGAGAAACACAAAATTTAATTATGATAAAATATCTTTGCCTTTTTCATTAATTGCAACTGCTTATTTTCTCCCTCTGCTTTGCTTTTTTTAGGGTCCTGAATTTCATGAGTTTCTGTTTACAAAACTAATTAATGCAGAATATGCATGCTACAAAGCTGAGAAGTTTGCCAAATTGGAGGTGAGTTTTGGGGCATACCATTACTTGGTTTTGTTGTTCCTAAAAAACAATTTCCTTTCTGGTATTTGTGTGCTTGGGCGTCAGGAGCGAACACGATCGGCTTTGCTTGAAACCCTTTATGAGGAACTCCATCTGAACAGCCAGGCCATAATGGGAGTTGGAGGCGAGGATGACAAACTGGAGAATGGGAATGCAGGAGGAGGGGGCTTCTTTGAGTCCTTTAAGGTAACCAGAGACTCACATACAGAAGATTCAACACATTCTCGAACCGGTACCTTAAAAATTCATAACTGTTGGAATTTAGCAAATCTTTTCCCCAGTTGAACATACATCAGCATGGATTTTGTAAGATTTGAAAGTTTTCCTTTTACATTTTAGAATACAGAATACATATTCACCATCCATTTTGTATTGATCTGCAGGCTTTGGAATTGCTACTGCAATTAGCTATTTGCAGACAGCTCCATGTTTCTCATTATTTAAGCCTAGATAACCTGCTACTGCCTGTAACTTTGAAAGCAAACAGAATTAAGCAGGCCATTGATTTCCTCCATATTTTATACCACATGAAAGGAAAAACTTGTGTTTCTAAAAATGTCAGTCTATTCTGATGCTATCGGTTTTACAGGTATAAAAGTATAAAAACAATGTTACTCACAAAACATTGACTTTTTGTGACCTTTTTTTTCTACTTTCTGTTGGATTTTTCTTAAGAGACTTTTCTTTGGCAGTCAGGGTTCTTCACAGTTGCTCACAAGCTGAGCTATAAGAGCTTTATCACCGCCTCACAGTCGGTTTGAAATCTGAATGAAGCGGATTTCTGCAGCTCCGTCCTCCTCTTTGCTTCACAGCTTTTCTTCCTTGTGCATCACAACAGTAACTTGATACTGTTCTGTCTGCATGCTGCTGTGCCGCCACCCCTCGCATATTTTTCATGATGCTGTCATCTCTTTGTGTCACAAACTGGGGGTGAACAGATACATTTCAAGTGGCTTTACCTCTCCCATCGGGTTACAACCCAAGACGTTACACTTCTTTTGGCTACTTGGTGGTTTGACGTCTCCTTACTCTTTCTTTTCCTGCCACTTAAGTAAAAGCAATGATTCATCTGAACCACACAATCTGCACACAAACTCTGCAGGGTTCTCTGTAACTTTCTTTCCTGTCAGCAGTAGTCAGAGATGTGGTGCCTGTCCTTGTAGTGGTCAGAGTTCAGGGGAAAGCTCTAAGGCTCACCTCGGTCATGCAAAGAGGCTGAAAGTGTCAGTATCATCTCAGTGTATCTCCTCCTCCTCGTTTCTTTCCGTAGCGGGTGATTCGCGGTAGGAGCCAGTCAGTGGATGCCACGAGTCTAACTCTCAAGAAGCAACACTCAGTCTCCAATAACCTGAGCAGCCACAGCCCTGCAGAGAATCCTAAATTCCCTGGGATAGTAAGTAAAGTGCCTCTTTTCGCCATAAGCAAGGCGCGCCTCGCTACCTCTGCCTCCTCCAGCCCTTCTACTAGAGTATTGCCTTCCTTCCTTACGTGCTTGCAGCATTAACTTCTCACACTGATGTGCCATGCCCTCGGCCAAGAGGAGCAATAACGGATAGCTTTGGTCTGGAAGCTGACTTTCCTGATAGTAATTAGTCGCACACTGTCTGCAAGATGGAGTGGGAGGATTCTGACTGGATTCTACACTAATGGTGATGGTTTGGGGTTAAAGCTGGTGTTTGCTTCTGATTCCTTTTCAAACCTAATGCAACTGCTTTCTTATTATAAGACTAACAAATTTTTTTAATATGATCCAGTATTTTGTTGTTGTGCTTGTTATGTTTATGATACTTTAAGCATCGGTCTTGAAGGGATAATCACTAACAAATGTTAAATAAAGTTAGGAGTGAAAGTTTTTTGTTACTTTAATTAACAAATCAATTGCATCATAATTGTTCTAATTCTTTCATCAACAATTGTAGTTTTTTTTTTTTTTTTTACATAGTTTACATACATCCATAATGGGCCTTCCTGTTTTGATAATGTACGGTTTCTTAATTATTTATTTGTACCCTTCCCTTCCCTGGATTTGACAAAAAAAATTTAATGTTTTTATTTTCTGGAAATTTTGCTCAGATCCACACAAAGTTCACCCAAATGTATGATTCCCCTGCTAATATTTTGTTAAATGTTCCTTAACAATAGTACATCCAGTATTCCATTTTTTTAGCTATCAACACCACCTTTAGAAATTAATCTCAAGATTATTTATTAATACTATTTAAATATATGGTATAGTTTTTTTCAAGTGTGTTATTTGTTGGCAAAAAACAGGCTGTTTAGCTTGAACTTTATCAATAGAAATGTAGGGAGCCGGTTGCAGAGGCCTAACAAGTTAATCAAGGTTAAACAAGGTTTATTCTCTTAAAACAGTTGTATTCAAGAATTGTTCAAATGCATCATTAAAAACTTCATAATAATGTAACATTCATTGCCATCATGGCTGCATGCAAAACTTTTGTCCAGAGCTGTATGCTGTTCATGCTATTTTATAATTATGGGTTATTAATCAAAGAAAATGTATACATTCCATTGGATTTATTTTTACAATACAGTAAAACTAACTGATTTCCTGTAATGCAATTACAAAACTCTTTAATGGAGTTTACCACGATAAATGTCCTATGTTGTTACGTAAAGAATAATTTATCGAGTTCATGTCTCTGCTGTTTTTTTAATCTCTTCATCATCGTCTTCCTCGCAGGCATATGTGGCTTACATAACCGGTTCATCATTTCTCTCTCCCATTCAGCTGCCTGTGTTGAACCCATGGAGCCAGACTGTCTCCATTTGTATTCTCTAGTTAAATATTGTTTGACTGACATGACTTACTGCATGAAATCTCACATATCTGTATGAATCTCATGTTTTCTTTTCTCCTCCTCCTTCTTTTTTTGTCATCTGTCATTACCATCATCTCCTCCTCACTCTTTCTTCTTCTCTCTGTCTTTTTCTCTTTCTTTTTCTCTCTCCCTGTCTACCTCAGTCATTGCTTGTCCCAGGCAAAAGTCCCAGTAAATATGGACGCCGTGGCAGTGCCATAGGGATAGGAACAGTAGAAGAGGTTCATGTCTAATTACTAACTACCTTCTTACTTATGTCTTTTTTCTGTCGCTTTTATGTGTCTGCATGGCTCCACTGCATCAAGGTCAAATGAGTTTTCCTCCACATTTTAGCAGCTCTTACCATTAGTTCCTTTTTGTGAAAAGTGAAAGCCTTTACAATTTGCTCAAATTTGCTATCTTAAACTATTTACTAATGACACACTTCAGTCAATCATTTTAGACTCTTTTTTTTTTTTTAGGTCTTCTCTGCTTTAATGCAGCAGGTGCTTATTTTCTAGAATGTTTTATGATAATTATCTCCTTTGATTATTTCCAATTATTTAATTCAATTAATTTAATTCAATAAGCCCCCCCATGCAGAGGTTATACAAAGAAAACTGAATTGCTAATCTCTAAAGCCGCATTAAAAGAATATCTTTGTTTCTAATTTGAGACCTTTAAATTTGAGACAGAATGAACAAAGCGTCTCTGGAGCCTTCAAATCCACTTTTTATCTCCTGCTTCAGGGCGCTCTGCACTGACAGGGGGGGGCTGTCACCTGCTCTTGGCATGACATGCGCATTTCTCCTTTTTCTTTTCTCATTTTTGTACCAACTGAAAACAAGTTATCCTACATATTATCCCAATAACTCAGAGAGATGTGGTTTCAAAATCCTTTTTCTTTTTTTTAATTTATTAGCCTAGTTGGATCGGAACAGAACTTGGAAAATATTCCCAGAGTTTGACAATGCTTTTCTGCTCTCCCTGCCAGTCTTTGATTATCCCGGGAAAAAGCCCCACAAGGAAAAAGTCAGGTCCTTTCAGCTCTCGCCGAAGCAGTGCTATTGGGATTGAAAACATTCAAGAAGTCCACGAAAGAAGGTGAATGAAGAGTTTAGTTGATTTTTCACTTAGCCTTGAACTGTTCTACATTTGATCACATTACAACCAGAAACGTTAATTTTATTATTGTGATTTAATGTTATAATTTGTGTAACAGTGAATAACTTTTAAGTGGAAGGAAAATGATACATGGTTTACAAATATTAATAACTAATGGATGTATTTGTATTCATCCGTAATACTCTATTGCTCCTAGAAAAACCCAGTGAAGAACTGCATCCAGAATTCAGATATAAATGTTCTTGTGCTTTTAGTTTCATCTTGTAAAAAAACTCAGTTGTTTCACTAATGCCTCTAAGGTTGACTAGATAAAAGTAGTGAATAAACAACTTCATCAAGACCAAGGATCAGATCCACAGCTCTGGGGATTTTAACACTTTTATGAGGCATTGTACACACATCACTGTGGGTTGTTTTGTGGGTAGGTAGCATTTTATAAGCATTGTGGGAAATATGTTATTTTTTGGTATATTTCTATTGCAGCAGAGATGCATCTCCACACACTCAGAAGACACCTGACAGTGGCCACGTTTCTCAAGACCAGAAATCTGACAACTCAGATCAGAGCTCTCCTGAAGTCCTCACAACCACCAAGAACAGGTAAGAGAGACCGACTGAAAAGAAATAAGATCAATGAGAATTTATACTGTCATGTGTCAAATTCAAGCAAGGCAGCACCTTCTTTTGTCATGTCTGATGCATGATTTGAGGTCAGAATTAACTGACCTCTATAGTGGTAACCCAGGGTGTAGCTCTTATTTCTGTGGCAGGACCCCTTCCATCCCTGAGGGCCAAGACCTCTCTCGCTCCTCCTCCAATGCCAGCAGCTTTACCAGTGTGGTAGAGGAAAACGAGGCTCCAGAAGACTATGACACTGGCATGGTTGGCACAAAATTTCTGTTCATAAAGTGCAAGAAAACAGAGCATGAATTTTAAATAAAACATATATTTTCAGTTGCCTCTTTCCATTATGCATGATTCCACATGTCTGTTATGTATCATTCCCAGGAGAGTCTGTCTTCAGCTGGAACACCTCACAAGCGAGACTCTCTCACCTACAGCACCTGGTTGGAAGACAGCATGAGCTGCACCAGCAGCAACAGTCGTGGCAGCTCTCCAGGTTTGTAGGCATATAATACTTGTTTTACAATTTCTAGAAAACATGCAACACTATCACATTTTTCTGATTAATTTGCACCCTTTCATGAGTATGACAGTATGTTTTTTGGATCAGCAACAAGTTCATTTTGGATACTATTCTGTGTTATCATAAGATAAGATAAAACATCGGCTCAACAGTCAAAAGAAGGTGCCAAAAGGAGGAAAATGTGCATGGAGTGTATACAGTGCGCAGACATTTATACAGTGGATCGAGAGAAAAAAGAAACGAGGCAGAGATTTAAGGTGACTTATATACATTTAGGGTGACTGATTCACATTTGGATTTGGCTTTGATCATTAAAGTGCTACCAGGTAAAGAACAACAGTGAGGTGGTGAGATAAGTGTAATAGCTGAAGTTTCCTATTTAACAGGGTTATTGCACAGGCTATTTAACAGAGAATTGAATTGTTATTGCAGATTAGTTATTGTGAAAGTTATTGCAGTTATAGTGCTGCATTGTAAAGTCTGATGGCAGCAGGGATGAATGGCCTGCGGTAGCACTCCTTTTTACAAACAATGTGCAAGTCTTTCACTAGAGGAGCTGCTCAGCTCCTCTACAGTCTGGGGCAGGGGGTGAGAGGTGTTGTCCATGATGGATGTGAGCTTGGACAACATCATTATATCAGCAAACATCACAATTTTAAAAAATGCCAGTGAGTCCAAAGATTATGTAGCAAAGAGAAGAACCTTTTTTTTTTATCTGAAACACAGAGAACGTTTTCACAGAGTCCCTCTTGTGGCATCATTATGAAAAGTTAGCTGGCTTAAAGATAAATGACTAACTTAGGGAACATTTTTTTCAGAGCATACATTACAAGTATAGAGTAGAATAGAGAGATTATTAAACTTTAGTGTGGAAATTCAAGTGTACCAGCAGTAAAGCAAAAGGCCACAGGAAGCATGATTATTCATACAAAGATTAAATAAATCATATGTAAATCATATCTCAGTCTTATGTTTATATTTGACCACCATGTTTACAAATTACCACTGCTGCACTTTAAGAAATGGAAATGTCCTGAGAGCTGCACTCAACGAAAGTTCATTTTGTATACACCCTGTGTGTACAAAATGACAATAAAGATAAGTCATATCTACATTATCAGAAACAATAACAGACTGTGCAGAGAGGGATAAAAGTGTGCAGCTGAATAGGTTAATTAAGGAGAACTGTGTAAAATACACATATACGAATGTGCATACTAAACAGCAGACTATTTACAAGAAATGAAACTGAACAAATAACAGCAGGAATGCAAACCCACTGGGAGGAAGTATCTTCAATAACGATAATGACTGCAAACAGTGAGTTGCTACAGTTATGGATATTAATTTCCAGTGTATCCTTTTTCTACATAAGGAGAAAATGTCAAGATATGAAACTTTACTGCACCTTCCATACATATCTATGAGTTGAAGCATTGAATTTTGACATTGTGCAACTTGACAATAAACTCCAATATGTTTACTGAGATGTTATGTCATGGCTTTTAATTTCCTTTATTTTGAATTTCTGTTTTTAGTAAAAATCAGAAACATGGCATGCATACATATTCATAATCAGCCCTTTTTCACTTCAATACAAATCAGTTCTTCTGTGAAGGAGTTCTGTAAATTCTTCCAAAGGTTTGGATCCAGTAGCACTATTCAATTCATCACCCAAAAAATTGGAACATTATGGCCACACTATAAAGAAATAAAGAGATAAACATCTGGCAAAACTAACAGGCCAGGTGACAAAAGCACTCAACAGAGATGCAGCCTAGAGACCCAGAGGTAACTCTGGAGGAGCTGTGAAGTTTTTCCCTGCTACCACACTCTTGACTTAAATGCAGGGGTGACCATAAGGCTTCTGCAGCACTAGATAGTGAGCAAAGAAAGTCATCATTTAGATTTTTTCTATTCTGAGCAGGGACACTTCTAAAATATTTATATTGCCATGACAACAGGTGGGTTAAAAGATCATTGGGAGATGATAGAGTTACATTTGTGGTAGTTCAACTTTAAGAAGCTGAAAGAAGACGGAAGATGTCTAATATTCATTCAAAAATTTCAGCAGAGACTGCAGTCACTTTAGCAGTAAAAGGTTCTTCTACAAAGTCTTGACTCAGGTGACTGAATATATTTGCCAGATTCTCATTTTTTTAAGAAAATTGTCAAAAATACAATACTTGACACTTTCTAATTTGTGGGTAATTGTTGCAAAAAATCACAGTAAGATAGCATAGACTTTGCAGTTTTGTTGTGTTTGAAGGTAGTATAAATAAAAAATGGCGAATAAGAACAAAGTGAGTTTTTTTTTTTTATTCATGTTTTCTTGACCCTCAGGGCATGGTAAATCTGATCGAGGGAAAGCCACCGATATTCGAATCAAACTAGAAAAATCACATGACCATCAGTCATCAGTGAGTCCCCCTGTGATTATTTTAGATTTTTAAACTCCATATTTCAGCTCCTTTCTGTAGGACTTTATTTGGTTTACATTTGTGCTTCCCTTTGTGCAGAACTGTTAGCCCTGCCCACAGGATTTTATCCTGAATCGCCATCTTCAGGTTTGACTTTCATTTTTTTCACTCTTATGGTTTAATTTAACAATCTTACAACAACCAAATAGACATATTTGGATGAAAACACGAGCTACCAAATGAAGCCTTTGAACATGTTTTATGTTTTTGACCAGATGCCTGTCTTCTTCCAGAAGCAGTCCCATAAGTCACTCCTTCTGAGACCCATGCTTTTGACATGTTGAGTGAAGAGGAGGAGGATGAAGCTGAGAAAGGAGCATCAGATAAAGCCTGCAGTTGGCTGCTCAGGGAGGAATGCATCCAGAAACCCAGAGGACACAAGAAAGGGTTTTGCACAATAAGGGGCCAGCTTTTGGTTTCATTGCCTGTTCCCACATTTGTTGCTTGGTTGTACTTTTATTTTTTAAACCGACCCTTGGTTGTAAAAGTGCTTTTTTTTCATCTGAAAATATAAATGTTTGATCTTTTAAAGATGTCACTTGTTGAACTCATGCTGTGCTGGCTGTTTGAAAAGTACAGATTGTATAGGTGTCCTTGTGATGAAACCTTCCGCTTAAAGATTATGTCATAAATCTATTTAAAATCAAATTAAATCATCACATTTACAGGTATATCATTGAAATTGAATCAATTTGATTTGTCACAGTTAAATTAAGCTTTTTCTCTCAGCCAAGCATGCAGTTACAGTAGCCGAATGTGAAAACATTACACATTGAACCTTTAACACACTCCATCTTCAGTGCATGACATACTGGTCACCTAAATCATATAGTCTCCGACTTTACCACAAGCCCAAAAGGCAAAGATGCACTAGAGATTTTTTTTTTTCCCATGAGAAGGAAGAAGTCATGAGAGAAATATGGTCTCAGAGCTGCAATGTGTAAAACTGTTTTTTGCCATTTGACAAAAATCATAAACCTAAAATCCTGGCAGCAATAAGGAGTCTTTGTGACTTCTGCTCCAGTTCTGAACATTTAAGTGCCAGCCTTTTCATTTCTCCAAACAGTGACATTACATTAAAATAGCTGTAAACACACTTCCCTTAAATATTTGATCCACACTTAAGATGAGTAATGCAGCTGTCTAAATGCCGCCTCAGTGGTTTGCCTGCCGACTCAACTGCAACTATCTTTGCAGCTTGGGCAATAATTGTTTGTAGTCATAAACACTGCCAGAATTATTTTCCCCCTTTTGTAGACAAAATTTAACCTGTTTAATTTTATTGTTGTTGTTTTTTTTAAATGTAGCGACTGAATTTGGTGCTGACTGCATCCTCTGATGCTTGCAGCATCCTCACCAACGTTTCGTGCATGAATAATCTCATGGGAAAATATGCTCACTTAATCTTTACTGTGTTGCTATAAAGGGAGCAAACATTCGATTTTTTCATTTTCTGTGTGCACCAACTGGCTTTCACACTCAGGATCTGGAGGACATGTTTTCACTCTGTTTATGTTAGTGCCCATAAGGGTACTTTTTGTCTATGAAAAAAACTGTTTTAATGATATTTGCCTGTTTTGAAAATCATTGGTGTTTTCATGTTTTCTGGCTCTAAATTTTGAGAAATGTTGTCCTTTAAGCAAAATTTTTGGCTTAATTGAAATGCCAAAATTGAAAGTTTTTTTCCTAAAAGGTTTATCGGAAAATGTTTCACCTGTTAAATTGATAAGTTTATTATATGGCAGGTAAAATTTAAACAGGAGAACATGTTAGCTGCACTAAGACACTTTCTCTGATTTCCATTTTTTCTCCAAGTTTAACAGCTTACAGGAAATAAGCCTCTCAGCAAACAGCCTTAGAACTTAAACATGTCTTTTTTTTAAGTATGTGTTACCTCAGTTTTCCCCTCCACATTTTTATCTACCAAAGCAAATCAAAGTTATTAAATTAAAGGCTTATCAAACTTTATAACAAGTGCTTCAAAAACAGGAGATGATTATTGGTTTAATCGCCTATTGAACTCAGTCACTCTTTGTATAACAAATATACAGATATAGTCATCAGTTTTATTATTTTTTTCCTAACTTCTCTTCTTCCCTAACCTTTGTTTTTATTTATTTATTGTTTTCTGGTAAGTGGCAGTTCTCTCTATGGTGATAACACTCAGTGTCTTGTTATGCAGCTTGTTTATGTTGCTTATTCCCTAAATATGATCTTGACCTGTGACATCTGGCTTATTTCAAGAGTCAGATCTTGTTGAGTGCAGTAAGTTTGCAATGCAAATATGATCAAATCAAGTATATTAATTTGCTTTAAAAGTTACTAAATCCAAACTAAACAACTGGTGATGTGTAAATATAATATTAACTGAAGAAAATATATGTATAGCCAGTGGATTTTAAACTGGAAGGGACAACACAAAACAATTACTGCCAAGGTTAAAAGTGACTGTTGTTTTATGTCATGTATCCTTAATTTCAGACTTTATTTTAAAAGTTTTGTAGATTTTTAAAGGTTTTCAGACTAAAAGGGAAAATATCTCTGTACATCCCATTGATCATTTCAGTTGCCTTATGTCACACAGTGATGGTGTAAGTCGAGCCAGGAGAGCCAGTAGTTAATTCATCAGAATTTCCAATATAATGAATGTTTTGTTTTTGCTTGTTTTTACTGTAAATAAATACCCTCAGAAGTTCAAAATCTTCTGCACATCGATTATTTTTTTTTACCATTCAAAAGAAAAAAATCCTTCTAAGGCACAGTAAAAATCATTGTAATTAAATAAGAATAAAAGACAAAGGGGGGTTTATTTCCCTGTATCATTATAAAAGCCAATAAAAGATTATCCCAGAAGTCAGTGACTTGGTGATGCTCCGCTGTAAGACATTATTTGCGTGTTGTTGTAATTGAAGGCAAGTGACTTACTTTATTTGGGGTGTCTGATGTATAATTACAGAGCTTTCTGTGACTGAAACATTTACTACTTTTGAACTATTAGATAAGAATATGCAATGATGTAAGAAAAATATTAAGATAATGCTCTTTACTTAGCTGCATTTATTTATTTTAGGAATAACTCTTTTTACCACACTTAAGTCATGCATTTTAGGAGTGGGATCATTGATATTGGGGGGGTTACAACACATCCTAAAAGGCTTGAAGTCACCAGACCCGATTTACAATCCGATCCAACTTAAATTCTGATTACATGAGGTTGTGGAGCTAAGTCCCTGAATATTAACCTTCTTCAGATCCCAAACAAAATACATATGAACAAAGAAGTTCCAACAAAGTTAAAAGGTTGTTTGTGCCACTCCATTAGCCTGGAACTCAAACCCTACTCCAGACATTTTGAATTGAGAAAGCTTCCTGGATGGGAAGTGAAACATCTTCAAACTTGGAAAACAAAGTCCAGTGTTTTTTGTTTTTTTTTTACTTTGTTAAATTTGTTGGAATGACTATGATCTGGATGAATGAGAATCTTCCCCAGCATAGAACAAAGAAGTGGTATGTATACCACACACAATGTACAAAGCTGTCTTAATTTCCAGATTTTTGTAAATACTGACCTGGAGAGCATAAGAAAGAGATCCGGTAATGGATTGTCAAGAGAGAATGAGCAATAAAAATAAAAAGTCAGAAAAACCTCTTTCTATTTGCTCCAAACTTGTTAAATGATACAAGTGATGACTAACGTCTGCTCTTTTGAGAAAAAAGTTTGTTCTTCACACATGTTTTGGCCGAGGTGCCAACAAATGTGTCATCCCCTAACTTTGAATGTTGTTTATACCAGGATGTAAATATTCACTGCACAGCTTTTCTTCCACAGATGGTAAAGGAGATAATGATGACACTGTGCCATGGTGTATAATAAAATAACTATCTTTAAGGACCAAATTATGACTCATTATCATGGAAACGAACTAAAAAATTAATAGAAAAGTGAAATTTTGTCTCAAGATATAACTGAATAGCAATACACAACATGATTTATTTGTACATAGTATAAAAATAAGTAGCAGTGTAATGGTCAGGGCATAGAACTTGAAATCCTGAGGTTCTGAGTTTGAGCCCCACTCCCACAGACTGCCACTCTGGGTCTCCAAGCAAAACGCTTAACCCTTGACTTGAAAAAAAGGTGCACTCTGTGGCATTTAAAATAATTATTGGCCAAAGAGCTAAACAGTATTCAGCTCTTCAGCATGAGTATTCAAATAGAAAGCATTCTGCCCGGCTGTCTCACTGTGTGGTGTGGAAGCTGCAGCGCCTCAGACTGGAAGAAGGTGAGAAGAGTGGTGAGAACAGCAGAGAGGATCGTCCTCTTCCCTCCATTAAAGACATTTCATCCCAGCACTGCGTATTCCGAGCCTGTAACATCATCAATGACCCTTCACACCCCCACCATGGACTGTTCTCCTTGCTGCCCTCTGGAAAGAGGCTTCGAAGCATCCGATGCAGGTCCCGCAAATTCCATAACAGTTTCTTCGCCCGTTGCCATTAGACTGCTAAATGTTGTGTAAAATTGGTTATTTTATTTTTAAAAATAATTTTAAAAAATTTTAGAACTGTAAACATACGTTTACGTCATATGTTTATATTACTATTTTTTATGTATTTATTACTGTTTTCAAGGCTGCACTTTTAAAAATGAAATTCTCTAGAGCTGTTTTAAATGGAATTTGTTTCTGTATACACTTGTGTATACAAAATGAAAAAATAAATCTGTCTATGTCTAAAGCTAAAGAAAAAAGTTTCATTTTAGCAGGTTTTCTATCTGTTTTTATGGAACATCTGGATGTAATATCCACTACAAGAATATTTTGAAAATATTTTTTTCTCAGCTTTAGGTTAAAAATCTTGGTGGGTTTTTTTATTATTATTTATTTATTTTCGTTCATTTGAAATCAAATAATTCAATTTCTAGTATTTTTAGTATTTTCTAGTCACAAAAAATACTGTGGATCTACAACATTACTGTTATATTTTAAAATATTATTTTCCTTGTCAGCAAGATAAAACAAATTAAGAGAAACCTAAAGTCTAAAAAAATATTTAAAGCTCTTTAAAAGTTTTATATATTAGTACCAGTAGCAGATACGGAGCCCTGTCTGATTAAAATAGTCCAACAGTTTCCCCGGAACCTTTGATCCCTATGAGAAAGAGGAAACGCTGCATTAAAGTGTTACACATACCGGAAATTAGTTTCCTAAGTCACATTGAGCAAAAATCCACCGGTCACGGAAACATTTGGTAATGTAGTTTTAATTATTTTCTTTGTGTTATCAGTGTTGGCCTTCTCGTTCAGTTAAATGGGGTTTTGTTTCTCGTGTCTGTTAATATTTGGCATTATGGGAATTTATACGTCTGCGTTCACAATAAGCTGCAAAACTAGCAGAGAGGCATAGTATAGTTGATAAAAGACTTCTGCTTTCTGTATGATTCATTTATTTATTGTTGTATTTTGTGCTTGGTATCACCTACCTGATATTTTTTGCAGTATTAAAGGACGTCCATTTCTACCTGTGTGTCATTTGGCTTAGTGGTCTAAATGTAACCGCACTATTCCAGCTATTCTGTATATGTTGCATTATCTTGTGTCCAACAGTGTCGCCTCGATTTGATTTATCTGCAATCTGGCTTATTTCATGCACAACCTTCATATCAAAAAACAGCTATCCAAATATTTCGAGGAAGAGAAATGTATTAAAACCAAGTGAGAGCTCGATCCAAAATGTGCTGGCCTTCTCATGTAAACCAGATGCACTCTTAATCGCCGTTATTGAATTATTATTTTTGATTATTTTACTGTTGATAAGTAATTGTTCTGTGTGTTTGGATGTTTCTTTTGTCTAAAACACTCGAATCAGATCAATCTTAAGCACATTCTTACAGAACATCAGGAAAATCTGAGGAAGGAAGTTCAGCCATCTGTATCATCTGTGTTGCAGCAGGGATATATTTAATGCAGACAGGATGATGCCTTTTAGGATCAATTCAGTTTTACCTCTAATAACCTAATAATAATTGTTTTTACTGTTCCCATGGTGTGTCATTCTCTTACATTTGAGACTAATTTAGCTCCATCTTCTTGTTTTCAGGACCTTTGATGAGTCACTCCAAAGCTGATGACTTCTTTATCTGATCATTAAAAATGTTTGCCTTGAGGATCGTCCCACGACTTTCTCTCCTCAGTAAAACCTCTTGTATGTATCAACAAAGAAAAATTATATTTTTTACTATTCATTTAGTATATATTATTCTTATGTTTGATTAGAGAAAAGCACAGCACAGGGAAGCTGTATTTCTTTGTTATCCTCTGTAGCTAATACCTTGTAAGACCTTCACACTTCAGGTTTTTGAACATTTATTGGAAAACTATTATAAATTATTCTTTTCTTTCAATTTCCAGGTGGACTTAAAGCACATGGCGGGATTCTAAATGCATGCGTCTCATCAGTCCTCCCTTCTTCCTGCTTATCACTACAGCAGAAATTACGAAATTACTCAACAACAGCAGACAACACGTCTCCCCCGCGATGGGTCCAGCTTGAGCCAGAGTTGGAGGAGGCTTTGATACCACGGAAGCTATCAGTGAGTCCTCTGGAAAGCTGGCTCTCGCTACGCTACTCCTTACCTCCCCTGCTGGAGTCTGCCCAACCACAGGGAGACATAGAGCTGCTGGAAGAGAAGTTGCTACCACCAATCTCTGAGCCTGTTTTGGAGGATGGGGAGGGTACAGCAACACCCATGAGATGCAAGAATGTTTTAGAGATCAGACGGCGGAAGATGAACCGGCATAAGTACAAGAAGCTGCAAAAACGGACCAAATTCTTGAGGAGAAGAGTTTTGGAAGGCAGAGGGAGAAAGAAGCAGGTGAGCGACAAACAAAAAAAAAAAACAATGTTTGAATGAAACTCTTATGTTCTTAGCTATTTTTTGTAAACTGTTGGTTCTTCTAATGTATTCTTATCAAGATGCTTTCAAGAGGAATTCAAATTATACATTTTGACATGTGCATGTCTAACTATGAGTATATTGTTTGCAGAAAAAATTTGAGGAGGATCTTAAAAGAATATGGATGCGAGCTGGACTGAAGAAGGCTCCGGAGGGATGGGCCACACCTAAAATCTTTATTAAACAACAGGGGAGCAGAAGGAACTGAAAAACACTGAAAACAAATGTTATTTCTGTTTAGCATCCCCCCCATTGTCTGACCCTGAACGCCACTCTTCATTGACCAGTGGAACAACTGCTCTTGGCCCGCCTCATCTTCAATCAGTATGTACAATAAAGTTTTGTGGAAAGATAATCTGAATAAAGATTTCTCTGCCAAACTTCAGTCATACTGTGATGTTCATCTTTCCTTTTCTTTACATGCATACAATTATTAAGAACCCTCATACTTTTTTGTATTTTGTACCATTACAACCAGACTGTTAACTATATTTAATGCCATTCAGCAACACTAGGATAACTTTGATGTGGAAGAAATAAGGTTGATGGTGTGAATTTATTTTTTTATAAAAATGTTAAAAGTCATGACAAATTTATGTTCAGTCCACATTAGTCAAAATATATTGAGCCAGCTTTTTATCAGCTTTGCATATTTAATATAACCATCACTATCATGGAGGAAGTGGACAATAAATACCTTTGTGTTCACCTAGACAACAGGGTATTGTGACCCCCTTGTGTCACAATAAATTATGTATCACAGAATATAGTGTAACAATGGCTCTGTTCTGGGACACCCTCTTTGACCTCTAAAAGAGCTTTTACAAAAAATAATTGTTCAAAGAATAAAAAGCATTACTGACAGCCGATAAAAAAAAAAAAATCAATTGGTCTTACACCAAATGAGAGTCTTCAGTCAGAGACTTCTTCAGACCTACTGTAAGGCAAACCCTACTGGAGATCGCTTTTGGACAACAACTGTTGGTACCCCTTGTTTAAGGAAAGGGAAAAAAAAACAACAAAAAACAGTAAGATGGTTAAGTTGATGGGAAGATGGATGGAGCCAAATACAGGAGCATTCTGGAAGAAAACCTTTTGGAGCCTGCAAAAGGCCAACTGGGACAGAGATTTCTTCCAACAAGGCCATGATCCAAAACATAAAGCAAAATCTATAATGGAATGGTTTACAGATAAACATATCCATGTGTTAGAATGGCCAAGCCAGTCGAGAATCTTGAAAGAACTTAAAACTTTACTAAAGCTCTCCATCCAACCTCACTTGAGCTTCACCTGTTTTGCAAGGAAAAATGGGCAAAATTAAACCAATAGATATACCCAAAGCAACTTGCAGCTATTATTGCAGCAAAAGGTGGTGCTACAAAGTCTTAACTCCAGGGGCCTGAATAATTTTGCACACCCAATTTTTTCAGTTTTTTAATTACCGTAGTTAAAGTGTAACACACCCCATATATTTTGTTCAACTTCACGATTGTGTCCCACTTGATTCTTCACAATAAATACAATTTTATATCTTTATGTCTGAAACCTGAAATATTGCAAGACGTCAAAGTTAAACGGGGCTGAATACTTTCACACGGCACTGTATGTCAGGACTCAAAGAAGACCGCCTTATCCCTAAACGAAGCAGTCCTGAAAAGCATTGTCTGACTTTTATTTGTTTATTTTCATAGAATGTTTGTTTATTAATACTTAAGTGAGATTTAAGTTATTTCTGTGACCACTGTTGGTTTTTCTTTCCTTAAACGAGAGGTACAAACAAAATTGTCAACGTATCCATTGTTCTACCTGCGGCTTTCAACAACCCGTACAACAAACTCCTATCAGTTTCAAAAACATTTCATTTACCTTTGCAATCAACAAAGTATACTTTTTTTTTTAATTGAGCTGAATTTAGTCTAAAACATTTACAAATTCTTTGCAAAATAGCCTAAATTCAGTGAGACTGGGTGAAGTCCTTCTCTGAACAGCAATAATTTAATAGTGTGGCAGAATTTCCATCAGGACTCCTGCTTTGCCAAAATGTTTTAGATGTGTTGTGCAAACTTCTTAACATTTCCAGATAATAGATGTGCGCTGTTAGATGTTTAAAGCTTGGTATAAATTGTTATGACCTAATCCTGCCACATATTCATTAAAAACTAATCCTGACCAATCTGTATATATTATATTAGCGTACATGAGGCTAAAAAGATGCATGTAAAAAAAAGTATTGTTATGAGCTGCTTTTGTTGGTGTACCAACTCAAAACACTGAAGAAATTTTTGTAGCAGTTTGTAGCAGCATTGTTTAGGTGATACACACTAGATGGCAGTATTTTACCGTTACATAAAATTATTAAAAATGACATGCGTTTTTGTGGTTCTTGGGAACCATCAAAGGGCATTGAGCTAATTCTTAGAAAAATAAATAAATAATAGATGTTGAAAAAAATCAGAGAAGCTTTTTTTTTTTCTTCGATCTTTAGTCCTGAATTCCGTCTTGCTTCAATAAAGGGATACAGTGGGAAGAAGTTTTCCCAGAGGGTAAAACTTTTTTGATGGAAATATGAATGAAAATAAACCATTAAATAAAGCATGATTATAAACACCTATCAGGAAGATTTGCTGTGTATATATTTTAACAGACTCCACGCAGATCAATGACAGGGAACTGTCCTGGAGTGAATTCATATTTGTGTATGAACCCAATATCTAAAGAGCACAAAAGGAAATACATAGATGCCTTGTAAGATTTAAGCTGTTTTCATGTCTTTTCTGTTTAGCTAGTTTCAGACTTTGTTTTTATTACTACATCCCTTAAAAGGGCAGTCTGCATGTCTGTGTGAAGCTTAGCAGCCCAAAACTAAAGGCAGTGTTGAATTTCATGGCCTGGTGGAGGTGGAGCTTCTGAAGACTAAAGACTGCAGCAGCACGAAAGGACCTCAGCAGCAGCTTTGCAAACTTTTCAGGGGTTTAATAACTGATGTGAATATCACCACCTCTGACGGATCCACATATCTGAGAAGAAGATGCACCTTGATATGAATCTCCTGCAGAGTAAGTTTTCTGTATATTCTGTCAT